CTTTGATACGAACCTAAACCTTCTCTTAAGCTTAGTCAGTGACTGGGATTCATCAGCTACCGGTGCACCCATATCCTTGACTGGCACCCATATCCTTGACTGCTTGTGCAAGAGCAGGCTGTTTTTCTCGCTGGATGCCTGTAAGCTTGCAGTATTGATATTGAATGTCACATTATTCCTCCAATGCTAACTCCCATAAGGCACCATAAGACATGTAGTATAGAAAATGGCAGTCAAATCTGACAAGAACTCATTGTGGAGGAAAGCATGTACTGTTCTCAATCCTCTGTTCTGATAAAGTTAAAGAATGATAATTGGTTAATTCCAGAGTTTAACAACAAAAACATAAAATGTTATTTACTTTACAGTCTTGTAAAATAATTAGGTGGTTACTGGTCTTGGTGCTGAAAACAACTCACGAACCCTTCATCAACTATCAGCATGGGGGTAATTTCATCAAACATTTCTCAGTCTTCACATTTTGAATATCATTGTTTATGTTAATATCCTTATATTTTATTTCTACACAACTGCAACTTTTATAAATTGTCAGAATTGCAGTAATTTTAAAAATATGAGGTACTTAAACCACACACCTGTAAAGGGATGTAACATAGTTATCTACAGTATATGAAGGCAATTTCTTATCTATTTTAGAAGAGTTAACACTTTTTGCATCTGAATTTGTCTGTTGATTGAATCAGTGTGTTTAAATAGATTAATGTTCAACCCAGACAGGTCTTTCAAGATTATAATATGAGCTGTCAGCTCTATGCAGTATGATCTAAGTTGATGCAATGCTTCTGAATGCAACAAAAAATAATCATTAAAATGGTCTCCTTAGTAATAAATTCACCTTTACATCAATGTGACCTCTCAGAAAATAAGCACCAGTATATTTTAGCTTATATCATTAGTGCCATTCCTGGCACTTATTGGGCATAAAATAAGAGTGAAAAAAGATTTCCCTCACCCTGAAACACATTTGCTTTGCCCAGTACAAATAACCCCATTAAAATGCATCTCGGCTGACTATTTTGAATTTCATAATGGGGTAAAACCTTCACAAGACAGAAGTACATTCATGACTCACCAAGACCAATTAGACATTGTGAATTAATTTAAATCCTTAATCCTGAACATGCTTTGTAATGATCTATGAATACTTACTGTAGCTTCTGGTGATTTTTCAAATTTTTTATCACAGTTTTTCTAAAACTTTTTAATATACAGCATTTTAGGTCTACAGGTAGAAAAATACTTTGATCAAGTGTACAAAGCAAAGAAAATCTATGGAAAATGAAATGTTATTGATCCTAAAAGACCAACATAATTATGGTCTTTCAGTTTAATCCCCATAATCATTACCATGTTTCTTTTAAACCAATGATTAAATCAAATTTTGACTCATATGGAATTAGAAATCCTGAGCCTGTTTCATGCTGTTGGTTATATATTTCCCATGGACAATATTGTGTTTATAGAATAATATATTTGTACAATGAAAGACTTAGTGTTCCACCAGTGCTGGGGATGGATTTTGCAATTGGCAGTTGTGTTGATCTTCGGTAGAATCTAGGCCTTAGCCTTCTGAGAAAAAGGTAGAATCCAAAGTACAACAATGCTTTCCTGCACTTATTTTTGTGCTAAAATATAAAGTAATATGGAATAAATGTCCAGTTTACAACTTCTTTATAAACAATAAAATCAACAAGAACTATTTATCATAATACTTTACATTCAGCAGGAGCAACATTATTTTAGATACAATATATTTTTCAATGTCCTTATTGTATTCCACAGTCTTTTAAGCATGTGGTTATTAGAATGACTCCAGCCAGATAGTTTCACTAACCTTTAGTGTCATTGCTGTCTTATTCATAGACAAATAATTATATTGGATGGTATTTATATTGCAGTAGCACTTTTGCATTTTGTGGACCTAAAAAACAGCTGCTGCTTACATATGTTCTTATCTCAAAATAAAGTATATGAAAAACAGAAATGTATTAGCACTGAGGTTGGGCATTGTTTTTGTCACGTGTACATATGTGTAGATACATTGATTAGATTTTTAAATTAATTTATTTTCAACCTTAAAGGTCCGTGTGCTCTTCTGTGCGTGCTGTAGACCTGAGTTACAGCTTTTCTTCAAATGCAGCCTAGAACACAGTATGGGGGCTTTTAGCATAATGATGAAACAGATTGTATTACTCTAATCTATTACATCCAATTTTCTTCACCATAAGCTGTTATTCTACAACAGACCTGACATAAAACTGACAGACACCTCCTTGTGTATTTGTCTTACAAAGCATGGCAAAAAGAGTAAGAGTCATCCACACTTTCAGTACATTCAGTACTTCTTAATTCACTCTGTCCTTGCTATCATCAAATACATTTATCCTTCGTGAGCAGAATTATTGGATTTCAGTGACCAACCTAAAGTACTGATTGAGTCTCATTAAAGATTACTGTAATGCATTGGAAAGCATCCTGATAGATAGAGGGGAATGGACAAAAATTAATTACAAATGTATCCAAACTTTGATTCCTGAAAATAGGATAACATAGAGAGAGAGTAACATTGTACTGGGCAATTATAAGTCACAATATGTAGTTGTCTTATGAAATGTATTTTTTGTGTTATACAGTATATATCTCTCATTACACAACCTGCAATTTGTTGCAAATTTGTTGTACATTGTGTTGTACAACTCAACAATTATGGCATTTATTCCGTGTCCCAAATGTTTTATTTAATGTTATTTATCACAAAAATTATACACATTTTGTGTGTAAATAAGCTTTTTTAAACTAAAAGTGACCAAAGAAGCCCAGAAACGATTATCTTTTCAATATGTTTGCATCTCCTTCCCTTGTGCTACTTTGCGTCTAGGATGTGCTGATCAGTTTGCTGTCTTTATCCTAGCAAAGATTGATCTCTGCTGGGAAAAGAGAGGTACATCAATCTAAATATTGTTAAAGTTTTCAAATTTTCAAATTCGAAAGTATAATTTTCAAACCTTTTTTAAAATGAA